TTTCATTAAAATTTTCCTCCTGATATCAGGATTGTATTCATCCAATCGCTTTCTTTTTCCCATGTTGATTGTACAAAATTTGTAAAATTGTTGTGACTCGGACAACACAAAAACGCATAATGAGTATGACAGTTGAGTCAAGATGGCGTGGTGGAATGCGCTAAAGAGGTTATTAATTAATGGTTCAATAGGATATCTAATATATTTAAACGAGCAATTCTTGTATATATAAATATATATATATATATATATATCCAACGATTTTCATGGAATTTAGTACGCAGGGCGTTTTGGGGGCGATAAATCGATCTAGATTAGTTTTATGTCTGGGAAAACGCGTGTTTTCGAGTTTCCATTCGGTTTTGTTTCGCATTATTCCACGCAAAATATGGTCGCTAATTCGCACGCTAGGACATAAGCATCGTGGTCAAGCGGCCAAGGCGCGAGTTTGACAACCACAGGTGTCTGTGTTCGCATTCCGGTCGGATACAAAGTTTTTACTTTTGTTTTTTTTTTAATATTTATTCAAGTTTTTAGTTTTATTTCAAAAAAATGTACTTTAGGGCAAAAACTCCGAGCGAAGCTCGGTAGCCCAGGTACTTTACCTAATATAAAAAACTGACCTACCGATAGCACTTCTAATTCTTTATAAAGCAAAGCTGTTGGATATAAGAAACTTGAAAGGTTTTGAGGTGTATAATTTTATAATAGTAAGTTGTGCAATTTCAGTTCTTTTTATTGTAGTATTTGCAGCTCCACCCCGTATGTTATACAGTACGTCAGTAAAGATTCACATAACACTTGATATATACTCGCTCAAGAGTTGAACAGGAGCAAGTGTTTATGGTTTGTAAAATATGTGGACTGGAGTAAGAAAATAAATTTAAATCATTAACTATCTGATTTGCCTGCTTTATACAGAAAGTAATAAATTTAGTTTTGTCTTCATGACCCTGGCAAAGAAAAGTATTCTAGCCAGTTGGTTAATATAGACAAGAAATAGGGTAGGTTCCAATATACTGTCCTGTGGTACACCATGAGTTATTAATAGGTCTGAACTTAGATAGATATCCACTTTAACGCATTGACATTCTTCTGAAAGAAAATTTTCGAATAGCTAGAATATACGCCAATAATATATTTAATCAAACTGTGCGGTTGTGCGAGATTCTAATGCATGCGCGATTGCAATAACATACACGGAAATTGTCGTAAATAAATCTTTAGAGGATATTAAAAATACGTATATAATTACACATAATAATATACTTACATGCTGCGACTGTACCGCCCTTTGTAGTGTGAAAATATCCGGAATTTCGTTCCGTGAACTCTCACCTCGCTTTATTGTTTCCGCAAGTTTCCAAATAGCTGCCAGCTACCTTTGCACTGCAAATAGCTATTCAATGTAAACTCTGCCAGCAAAGGGAAGGATTTTTTAATTAAGTTTTAATTTTCTTGTTTTGTATAGATAGCTACGTATGTGGTTTGTTTTTATGAAGATTTAACTTATTTATCCTTTGTATTGTAAAATATACATAATTAAGGTGACATAATAATTATTTTTTGTTTTAAATAATTTTACAACTACTTGTTATGGATAAGAAAAATGTAAAAGGACATTTTAAAGGAGAAAAATATGCATTACTAATACATAATCCAGAAACAACAATAAAACAAAAATTCAATGCTTGCGCGAAAGGGTAAAAATTAAGTTTGCCAAAATAACTTTATTAATAAACGAACCGAGAGTAATACTGCTTACTTTCTAATTTCGTTTAGGAGCACACTTATCGTTCTGATAACATTAGGCTATACACAAACACGTATAAATATTTTATAATATATAATAAATTTTATTATACACTTGGGACTAGCCCTCGCTTCTGCAGACCTTTTTAAGTTAAAAACCTTCTTAAACCTAAATATGTTTAGCTAGCGTTAGCCACTTAAATTTCTAAGGTTAACTCGAACCATTTATTGTGTTTTCCCGTAACAATGAAAGATTTTCCTGCATAAAAGTTATACTAAATGTTGATTTGAGTAATAAGTTATCGCTGCGCAAAATTTACTTAAGATCGGTTCAGTGCGTGTTGTTTATACTTTATATGATAGGTACATGTAGATATGAAATGGATAGTGGCAATAAAATGCAATATATAGGAACACATATCAAGGTTATCTTGTATCTTTTAATATATTATTCACGTGAAATATTTCCTATATTATTAATCATGTATGACCGAAACAGGATTTGTAATTGAAACTTCGACCTCGGCCACAGTTTTGGCCTAAACCGAAACTTAGCTCGTTGTGTACGTCAAAGTCCTGTCAAAGATATTTTCAGCTGGAGTAACTTGCTTATCAAATAAATTTATAAAATTAGTATGCATTTTGCAGTGCCAGCGGTCGCGGGTTCGAGTCCCGCTGGGGGCATTCATTTGTGTGATGAGTACGAATGTTTGTATGTATTTAAAAGTTATATATGTGTAGTGTATCAACTATCTGGTATCCATAACACAAGCCTCGTAGCTTACCATGGAACTAGATGGCGCTGTGTGTTAATGTCCCCAACATATTTATTTATTTTATTTTATAGTGAAATGACTGGGCAAAAAGTAGAAGATATACAAATCTGGCATTATTAGTTTTTTGAGTTTTACAAAAGTAATAACCCGACACTTACTACCAAAAACATTTGCGTTATTTATTCAAGTGCATTAGACGTTTGTAAATGCCAAAGATGGGTTTCTAAGTTTTAATCCGGTAAATTTGATTTTTCGGACTCGAACTGATTAGGAAGATCAACAACTTTGAACTTTGTTAAAGACAGAAGTGGAAGCAAATTCGTAACTGTCAGAAGAAACCAAAGCCAACTGATTTACCACATACAACTTATCGCATCAGTGGCACAATACAGAAGGATTTTTTGATCATTTGATCACTGACGATGAAAAAATACATTGTCTATGACAATTCAAAACGCAAAAGTCAGTGGCTTACTCCTAATGAAGCGCCACGAAGTACGGCTAAGCCATGTTCACGCCCGAAAGAGACGCTTTTGAGTGTTTGGTGTATTCGCGGGCTCGTTTATTTTGAAGTGCTAAAACTTGCACAAACTGTCAATGCAGACCAATACTGTAAACAATTCAATAGGTAAATCAATCTTTAATTGAAAAGTGCCTAGCCATTGTCAAGAGAAAATGCCTTATTTTGCAACATGATAGTGCAAGACCGCACTGTGGATGACTAACCCTAAAAATTTTTTTTACTTAAATTGGAAAGTAGTGCCTCACCCGCTCTTCTCACCTGATATTGCACCATGGAATTCCTATTAATTCCAAACGTTACTACGTTTTGTAAGCGGCAAAAAGTTTAAAAATTTGAAAGATATTCAAAATACCTTAGCCAAATATTTTGCTCTAAAACCAATCGATTTTTATCGATCCGGCATTGAAAATTTGTGCACTAGGTGCTAAACGGTTGTTTATAAGGAGGGTGATTTCATTACTGATTATTAATAAAAACTAGTAAAAATTTGTCTGTTTTAGTTTAATGTAAAAACGACATTAATTTCCAGTCCCCACATAGTTAAGTACCAACTAATACTCATTTTCCTCCTCATTCATAATAGTAGTCTGATGTATAAGTTCTTCTAAATTCGATATATAACTCTCCTAAAACACAAACCTTCAAGTTGATACAATCGTTCCAGCAGCCAGCGACCACGGCACACGAAATCACCCGAACATTGCGTGATAATTCACGAACACTAAGTTGCGGCGCAATTGTGGTTTCAGCTGATTTTTGGCCTAGACGTACGGCCACTCGGCCATAAAGTGCTTTGGACACCGTCGTTGCGTAAAGTGCCTAGGGGATCACGAAGCTCAGGACCGCACACACAAAGATCCCGTACCGGACATTTACACACCAGCCACAGCGATAACAACAAACGTATGGGTGAACCGTGTGGCTTCAAAACCAAAGCACCTTCAATGGCATGATGAACCTACATAAAGACCTACTATTAGAGTTTATTAGGGATTATATGAAAACGACATCTATGAGTTACTTTTTGAAAGTACATTATCATCAAATCGGATATAGTTCAAATAAGTCACTCCGCCAATTACGACCCAGTTAACAATATTACAGTTACGATATTACACACTGACGACCCGGTGATAGGATTAATTCAAGTTTCCTGCTCAATTTTCAGGCAGGATAGTGCTAAGGCCAGTAGGGAAAGCAACTACATACTCAGAAATAGAAATCCTCGTTTTGCTGAGAAGCGTTTTGATGATAACTTCGAATTTTGATTACTAGACTAGATTCTAAAACCCTTCAGTAACAAGTTTTGAACTAAACATATAAAATGCATGTCTTGAGACGAATTTAAAAATAGCTAAAACGAACCTTATATAAATAAATATATTGGGAAATTAACACACAGCACCATCTAGTTCCATGGTGGGCTACGAGGCTTGTGTTATGAATACCAGATAGTTGATACACTACACATATATACTTTAAATACATGCCATCAAAAATATATAATATGTGAAAATGGGAGCCAAGTTCAATATTCAGAATATGCGTGTTTGTCAACTTCATCGACAAAAGAATTGAAATCTAAACGCGTGTCAAGTTCTGTAGATAATCCTGCTTTTTCATAAGAATATACAACATTCTAAAATAAATTTAAAAGACAATTTCTTGTTCTTTCTCTACTACAAAAGTGTTTGCTATTTAAAAATACAACTTCTTGAATTTGAACAGTCAAATTATTTGCACAGAGTAGATAGCTTAGGATAAATTGAATTTCAAGATTTGACTTGGCTTGTGTGTTAAGTTATACGTGTTCAACTTGGTCTTGTTTTTTTTTAATAAGGCATATTATAAAAACTACCGAAACTACTACTTAAAAAAATCTAGGTCAATGTCTATTACCTAATATTCGGATATAATAACTGATTTAATTTTTCTTTTTTAGACTGAATATGCCAACTTCGACCACCGGTATGGCCCGGGTTTGTAGAAAATGCAACCCGCTGCGCAGGCGTTGCACTCTGTACGTTATAGTGATTGCGACCGCGGCATTGGTTGCGTTCCTGATATCCTCCTTAACTGTTTGTAAGTATTATTACTACTATTATTAATAATAATTGTTCAAACGCGAGTTAGATTCATGTAAGGGACTTTTTCGATAAATCACATAAAGCGCATTATATTCTTTTCAGGACGGTTTTTGTTACATTTTTCCTGTAATCAATGAGTAAAACTTCATACTTGTATTTTCTTTTTTTTAAAGTGTGGATGTGTGGTAAACACCCTAATTAAAACTTATTATTCTCAGGTGGTAAAATAAAAGTTAAAGTTAAAAAAAAATGATTGATTGTTCTATTTCTCTTCTTACGTCTCACTGACTCGGTTTTTAGCATTTTTTTTTCTATGTACAGACATTCCACCTCTACAGTTTTATTATATGTATAGATTAGATATTCATATCTTAAAATATTGTTGACTGGCACTGACTTCGAAAATATCTTATAAGGTATGTATTTTTTTAAGTTTTAATTTTTCCATTTTTAGTGTAGACGTAATAAGCAGGTAATTTGTAAGAAGAAAGTTTTTTTATTAACTTATTCGATTAAGCAATTAATATTAAAATAAATATTTATTGTTGATTTTTTAAAAACCGCTCGACCGATTTCGATAAAATTTAAATGGGGCCTGGGAAGTATACCCTTTGAAACAAAAAAATAATATTTCCAAATAGGTTCAGGCGTCTTCAAATAATCGATGAACATACATAAAAAAAAGATTCCGACAACGAACGAACGACGAAACGACGAAAGAACCTTCTCCTTTTTAGAAGTCGGTTACTTAATTATTAAATACTTGATTAAAAACATGAACAAAGAGAAATGTTTGAAAGCATAAGTCACGTCTATAAAGCTGCAGCGAACAGCCAGTTAAAACAAAAGAACATTGCTTCTTCAAAGGAAAATATAGAAATAATGAAATTAAAAGCACGGAAATACTTTGTTGAAACAGTTAGAGAAATTGTTTGACAGAACTATCAACATTTTACATGCATATTGTGAAATTCCTAAAAACTTTTATTTACAATAGGTTTTACAAATTAAAGCTAGCTAACATTTTAATGAGAAACATACTACGGATATGACTAGACTTAAAGATTCTTCATAAGTATGCGACATTTTAGCCCTCGATTCTTCTTTTAAATTTGGTTTAAGAAGCAGATCGATAATAAGACTAAGACCAAAAAGCATCTTAACGAGGGCAGCTAAATCAAGGTAGGCAGGCTGTCTACAATGATTAGAATATATTTGATATTGCAAATAAGTAATAAGTTACGTCTTTTTTAACGGCTTGAAAAAAGAAAGCTTTTATTACACTTACACACATTTGAGAAAGATTAGAAGTATCACTAATAAGTGGTACCAAATTATTGCATTATATTTTAGAGTAAAATAAAATAAGTTTATTGAAGTGTGAATTTATGAAACCGGGTATAAATTATTATTAATTTATTAATTAATTAACTGCCTCGGTGGTGTAGTGGCTAGCGTGTACGGCTGCACACTCGGAGGTCCTGGGTTCGAGTCCCGGGTCGGGCCAAGTATAGCTATTGAGTCTTTCTGTATAGTAAATCTCAGTAATAGCCCGCAGTTGGGAAGTTGGCGGTGTTTTACCCCCGTGCCTCGAAGAGCACGTAAAGCCGTCGGCCCTGCGCCTTAACTCTCACCGGTTGTGTCTAACAGTCCTCTCACCGGAGTATGAGAGTGACAGGAATAGAGAGTGCACTTGTGTCTGCGCGTACACTTGTGCACTAAAATATCTCCTGCGCAGTTGGCTAGTCTCAATGAGATTGGCCGCTGTAGCCGGAGTCGGCTAGGAAGACATCATTGTTAATATGAAAAAGTAAATATAAAAAAAAAGTTTTATCAAATTTAATTAAACTACGACTATTTTAAAATTTGCATATTTTAAAAGAAGAACTTGGCATTTATATTTTTTTCGCATTTGGGCCCAAAATGGTTAGTTACGCCACTTTTTTTATTCCAAAGATTGAATTTTCAGTGAATTTCCTGTACCCTTTTGGCATTTCTCACAGTACTTTTGTAGCTATTAAGTTCTTTGAAGTATACTAACTACGAATTGCATCTAGTGAATACCTAGGTTGCATGATTTTTATAATATAAATTTACTATAGATCTACATTCCTAACTTATATGGAATCTTCCATGGCAGATGGATAATGGAGATAGTATTTTCAGCTGTTAAGCTTCTGAATTTTACATATAATTTTGTAAAAAAAATCTTTGCGTAACGTAACATATGTAAGGACCAATTTTTCGTCCGATAAGAAAATTCATCCCATAAGAAGATTGATATTAAAATTTTATTAATATTGCAAATGGAATATTCCTTAGGCCTCACTGCTTGAAATAAACTAATTAATTAGCAATTTGCGTAGGGAGGTAAATATATTGATTAATAAAATTGTTGTTTATTATATTTTTCTAAAGATAGATATTTAATTAGCTGAAGCAAGAATTTGAATAAAACGATAAAAAATATAACGGAAGATTATTTTTATCATAGAGAATTATTTTTTACAATTTTCCTAAGCCAAAATTTCAGACGCAAAAGCCTAAAAGAAATTTTATTCATGAGTTGCTTAAGTTAGTTCATCATAATTAAGTACTTATAAAATAATAACACAAAAAATATAAGTTACAATAGATATCGATCTATAATTTTCGTGAATTATTGAAATAGTTTATGAAGTATGTACCTACATGTTTTCTATATATATATATATATATATATATATATATATATATATAAAAGGTGAACTTTCCATCTTTCGCGCCGATTTCTTAACAAGGCTTTAATTGCATAATCTTATATATAAATTTTTTGTGTCACAGTGTTTGTAACAAAACTCCTCCGAAACAGCTTGACCGATTCTTAATAAATTTTGTGTGTAAATTTAGTAGGTCTGAGAATAGAACGTAAACTATTTTTCATACCCCTTGTATTTTGCACGTACTGTTAACTTATTTACTTTTTAACTAAAATAAAATACCACAATGTATGTTGAATGTTGTCAAACTCATTTTATTTCTTTTCTCTAACTGAAGTGTCATTACAACAAATTAAAAAGCTATTGCCAGCCAGTGTAAACTCGATACTAAATTAGCATATACTTTTTATAACTATATATTAAATTAAACATCCCGCCCACCAAAGAACTTCGTTCTTTTTTCTACAATGGTAAAGATTAAAACAACAAAAGCTTCTCGACACAAACAAAATATAGACTATCAAAACAACTCCGCCCACCGTGAATGCTCATTTTAAAGTAATATGATAGTGCATGGATGCAGTTCAAAAGTACATTATATTAAAAACACTTATTAATAATATTAACACATTCAAACTGGCAAAAGCTGTACAATTTGTAGCCTCTAGAAAAAATACAACACATTTTAAACAAAGAGAACATCACAATCACAGCACAAGAAAGCTAAGTTATATATCTTTTTGATTAAAAAATATTAAGTTTATTACAATTAGCACATAAACTAATTTTCAGGTTTAGGTAGTACACATAATTTATTAAAAGGGCGCTTAACAATACCTTTTTTTTGTTTTGATAGTAACCACCCTAGTTAGACCATCTTTTCCTGGATGCTTTTCTATAACCCTACCTAATAACCACCTTGCAGGTGGAATGTTGTGATCCCTAACAATAACTACAAACCTTTGATTTAAGTTCACCAAATATTCATCTGACCACCTACGCCATAAATCATTAAGCATTTTCCGAGTAGTAAGGTTCCATCGATGAAGGCTCGAAATTGACGTCTTAGAATAGTTCTTGTCTGAAACAGTAACTAAAGGCTCCAAAAATGAAAAAAGAGTATGAACGCTTCTTTTGAGAACCTCTCCATGCTTTAGCTGCTTTAATTCCTCTTGAAAGTATAAATCTTGTGTCTTTTTAATACAAATTTGTAAAACTGTTTTACTCTCTTCTCTTGATACTATTTTATTGATAACTCTTTCTCCTCTTAGTATTTTAAGTTTTAAAAATTTTCTACAATATGACAAAACTCTTAATAACTTAGATAGACTAGAAAATCTTTCCCATATAAATTCTTCTTTAATTTGAACTACAGCAGCTAAAGTTTTCTTGGGTCTCTCTTCTTCGTTCGTCTCGTAACCTTGGTCAACCTTGTACTCATTTTGATGACGTAGAAAATCTGGACCATCCCACCACAAATTGTGAATGGCAAGCTCAGCGATAGACATACCTCTCGAGGCACAGTCTGCGGGATTCTGATCCGTTTTTACATGGTTCCATTGATCACGATCTAATACAGTCAGTATCTCGGACACTCTGTTGCTTACGAATGTTGCCCATCGACTTGGTTCTCCTCCTAACCAAGCAAGGACCACAGTTGAATCTGACCATGCGTATAAGTTTGTCTTCGGAACCCTCATAATTTGTGAAACCTCATGAATCAATTTGGTTGCCAGCACTGCCGCACAAAGCTCCATTCGAGGGATTGAGATTTCCTTTTCGATTGGCGCCACCTTAGTTTTGGCAGTCAACAGTCTTACATAAGTATCCTCAGTACCTTTGCATTTCATGTACACGACTGCCGCGTAAGCTCTCTGAGACGCATCGGCAAAGACGTGCAGCTCTCTCAAGTCATTATTTGTCGTCTGCAACCACCTTGGAATGCTAATCTTATTTAATGAAGATCTGAATTCATGCCATTCATTCAGCAAGACTGGAGTAAGCTCATCATCCCATGCCAAGCCAGACTGCCACAATCTTTGGATAAATATTTTGGCGATTATAATAGTAGGTGCGATCCAACCTAAAGGATCATAGAGCCGGGCTATATCTGACAACACCTTACGTTTTGTAATTGGCTCCTTTTGCTCTGGTAAGTTGTAGGAGTATTCGAAGTTATCAGATATTTTATTCCAGCTTATTCCCAGTACCTTAATCATATTGCTAGCCTTAAAAATAAACGAATGATCGGTTCTCTGCTTGTCTCTTTCAATGTGATCTAGTAGTTTAGGACTGT